CCAAGTAAGCTATCTTAACTAATAAAGAGGTTTAGCAATGTTGGAAACTATAGCAAACTATTGCATTTCTGTAAACCAGCATCCAAGAACTGGAAACCACTATATCGGCATCAAAAAGTGAGAGATACTTGGGGATAAATCTGACAAAAGATGCTCAGCCCCAGTCCACATTATGAAACAGACAGAAGATCTAAAAAAATGGTAGCAACCTATTGTGATTTTTTTTCTTACTCTAAATAAATATTCACTCATTTTTTTCTTTCACATGGATTTAAAAAGTTTCTATTAAAATTATATAAAATACTCAATAAAATTATGGAAAAAATTAAATTATATAAAATGTACCTTTTAGATTCTCCCTTTCACTTACTTTTTTTTTTTTTTTTTTTGTAGTACTGGGGATTCAAATTCAGCACCCTACACTTGCCAGGCAGGCACTTATTCTACTGAGCTATCTCCTCAGCCTTTAATACTAAATTTTTTTTTCACTTACCTATTTTAAACCAAAAAAAAAAGTACCTTCCCAAGAAATCATCACTAACTACACAGAGGCAAAGAGTAACTGCAGGGGGAAGCTTGGCCCTTTTCATTTGAGCAGCAAAACTGAATGATGTCAGGAGAGGCATCCCGGCAACCACATGGCTGGGTCAGTTCTGTGAAGGCCCAGTGTCATCTCTAAGGTGGCTAAGCCAGGGAACCACAACTGGGAACACCAGGGGAAGCCAACCAGCGGGGCCTTCTACAGGATCTCTAGTCTTGGGCTGGGTATGTGGTGCATGCTTGTGATCTAGTGATTCAAGAGGCTGAGGCTATGATCGACATTTCACAAATACTTCACAGTAAGACTTCATTTCAAAAAGGGCTGTGGGTATAGCTCAGTGGTAAAGCACCTTGGGTTCTGGGTTCAATCTCAGCGCCAAAAAAAAAAAACAATATGAAAAACTGACCTGTGATCTTCACAAGGTCAAAAGTTATCAAAGTCAAGGAGAAAAAGGGGGCTGGAGAGATGGCTCAGTGGTCTAAAGCACCTACTTGAAACAAGCTTGGCAATGCACAGGGACCGCGGTTCAATCCCCCAGCACCACATGCCAGCCAGCCCTGCCCCCTGGTGGGCTGAGCTGGCCACACACACACACACACACACACACACACACAAACAAAAAAAAATAAATGTTTAAAAAAAAAAAAAAGGAGAAAAAGGAGAGGCTAAAGAGATGTGACCTCTTCACTGTCACAGTTGTTACTACAACCTCTGGTGAAGTGTCAATGAGCACTATGCATTGGCTGGTGATACAGCAACACACCTGTGTGTGTTTGTGCGCATGCATGTGTGGTGCTAAGATTGAACATGCTTGGCAAGTGCTCTACCACCAAGCTACAACCCCAGCCCCATTTAAAAATTTTATTTTGAGACAGATGTCAAACTTGCCATCCTCCTACCTCAGCCTCCCAGTCACTGGGACTACAGGTATATGACAAGCATGTGACCCCAGGTAAAAGGTTTAAGGCCACTGTACTGGACCGAGCTGCTCCAGAAGACAGACAAGTCTGGGAGCCTCACACGGACAGTAGCGACACAACGCCACCAACCAGACCCAGGTCTGAGAAGACTGGGGGCGGGGGGGGGGCTGCAGAACCTGTCCGTGTTGCCCAGCAGATTCTGAGACCTGTGTTTGCTAAGACATCCTGAGTGGCGATGGCAGATTTTGATTATTCATCTTGAAGCTCCACATATAGGGTAATGACCCACATAGGCCCTAACCAGAAACCAGGGCTCCTCACCAAGGGGCCCGCCATTGATCCTGAAGCATCCAGGTCCATGGATTGGGATGGCTCTCTGGAGATAACTCCCGGTTCCGACGCCCCAGCCTCGCGGGAGAAATCAGCAGCAGTATGATACAGAGGCACAGAAGCAGCATCATCTCTGGGCATCTCTTTGAGACTGACATCTAGAGACAAGAGCTCTGAGCTGATTTGACCTTCAAGGGATGCAGTTTCCAACTCGGATTCCAGGTCCTCTTCACTTTCCACTTCCTGGGTGGGCACAGGGACCCGTCTAACAGCAGCCGCCCTTTCAGTTGAAATGGCCCCAGCCTTGGCTGCCTCCTCTTCTATTTTCGCTTTGTCCTCAGCCTCAATTTCCCGTGCAGAAGGGCCTGAGGCACCCATGGCCTCTTCACTTTTCTCTTCGCTGTTTTCCAGGGGTGACACCTGTAAAAGGGGGCAGAAAAGACCCAGGCATCTGCACAAAGGCTAAAGGGTTAGGAGAGCTGTGTGCTTAGCAGTGAGGTGACACAGGGAAGACAAAGCTGTGCAAATCTTGTGTCACCAGCAAGAGACTGGCTCATGCTTTAATAGGTGTCCAGACTACTGCACGCTTTGTCATAGGAAAGGAGCTCTGAGAGACCAAGGATGAGCCAGAGTTAGTTAACCATCCTCGGTATTCCTGGCTAACATGTTGGAGTGAGGTAGAAGGAAAACAGGTTTTCTTGGCCCCTGCATTGTTTGTTCCAGTGCCAGATAAAAGGGTCACCACGAAACTAACCCAGCCCCTGTGTCTCCCAGTAAGCATAAACCCAGAGCACCTTTTCCCAGGGAGCCTTACCGCATGGCCTTCATCGCTGGGTGCCTCTTCTCCTTCCAAAGTCGATCTGCCTTCCAGGGGAGACCTGCTCTCAGAAGGGAACAGCGCAATGGTAAGCATGTACCACCCCTTGAAGTCTGTATCCTTGTTTGTCCACTTGGGAGTGCCCTCTGGCTGTCCATCAGGTCTTTGTCCTGTCACTAGAGTGTGCTTGTCACGGGATCCAGGGGTCAAAAGCTCAGTCCAAGGAGGAATGAAAAGACAATTATTAAAACATTAAAGGGTTGGGCATGGTGGTGCACACCTGTGAACCCAGCATTTGGGAGCCTGAGGCAGAGGATCACTTCAAGTTCTAGGCCAGTCTAGGCTACATAGTGAGTTCAAGGCCAGCCTGAACTATGAATTGAGACCCTTTCTCCAAAAAATCAAAATAAAACATTAAGGGAGTAGCACCATGAAATCACCCCAGAAAATTCACCTTAACTAAAACGCATCTGGGACAAGAAATACAGAGTGCGTTGGGGAGGTAGCTCAGCAGTCCAAGTGCTTGCCTGGCAAGCTGAAGGACCTGAGCTCGATCCTCAATACCACATGCTGGGCAGGCCCCGAGCAGTGCCTTGCCAGCCACCGAAACTTGAAGTGGTGGCACATGCCTGTTATCCCAGCACTGGGGAGGCTGAGATAGGAGGATCACTATGAGTCTGAGCTGTGTAGTGAGACCCTGTACCAATAAATAAAGAAATAAATGATGAAATAATATAGAACAAAGAAAAATGCACAAGGACAAAGCTCGAGAGACTGCATTAGCTTTTCAACTACTTACATTGTATGAGAAAATTGTTTACAATGTTTTTTAAAATTCAAAATATAAGCTAATCCCCCAGGAATATAAAAAAGCATGACACCATCCAGGATCACCCCTGTAATGTTTCCTCTCCTTCCCAAATCACTGGTTACCGGTAACAGTTGGAGTTTTAGCAAAATCTGTGCTTTCCTTGTCAGTACATATAAACCTACCTTTTAAAAAAATATCGAAGTGTCTAGAGTTTTTTTAAAAAATGGGTCAAATTCTTTAAAATTGTTTCTCCCCTTCACACAGGAAAATACCGATCTTAACTGGGGCAAGATCTTTCCCTAGCCAACCCTTCTGGGTGTACTTAGGGTTCACCCTGGAGCCAAAGAGAGCTTGTGGGCCTCTGTCTGCTTCCCAGCTGTCGGTCCCCGCCCTATTACCCTCACTGTCAGCCTGTTAAGGGGATTCATTCTTGCAGGAGAGGAGCTGGGGAGTTGGGGCGTCAGGATCCCTTCGAATATCAAGTGGCGCAAGGTCGGGGCAGCATGCCATAGACCTGTGTGCCCCGCTCTGCAGCTAGGACAGCTAGGCATGGCAGTTGAAACGGTTACCCGGGGACCGTCAGCCGGGGTCTTAGAAGGGGAAGAGAGCTTGGACTACGGGAATGGAGCTGAGGAGGGGGAAGGAAAGGCCAAAGGTCAGGTGGCGAAAGGAAATAGGGGAGAGGGTTGTGGGTGGCAGTAGATGGGAAGAGGTCAGAAAGTCCCAGAAAGTCGGAGGAAAGACTGGTGGAGGCGAAGGGGACAAAGCTAGGCTCGGGCCATCTCGGCGCGGATAGCTGAGGAGAGTGGCCTGGCAGCCCCAAGATCTGCGGTCCCCTCGGCCCGGCTTACCCGCCACACCCAACGCCTTGCTGCGCCATCTCCCGTTGCTAGGAGACGCCGTCAACATCCGGCGGGGCGGGGACTTCGCACCCCTAGGGCCTGGGGTGGCCGGGCGCGCGGCCATTGTGCCTTTCGCGCGCACGTGGAGCGCACCATCTGAAGCTATGGATAGGTTTCAGCATAAATGTGTTTTAGCTCTGCCCTTCTCTGACCCAGTTTTCATGCAGGCGACAACAGTATCTACGTGCGTCTGGCACTGTGTGATCCCGGGGGCCCCAAGACCTCTAGGGTCCGAGGGAGTCTGGGGGGGCAGGACGTCGTCTCCCGAGACGTCCAGAGAGGACTCCTTGGTGGAGGAGCGACACCCAGGGCCCTCTACCAGGTGTCTTTTTCTCCTACCCCACAATACGAAATACGTAAATGCAGAGGGCAGCACCGAGAAGCCGAGCGCAAAAGGAGACCTGAGCTCTTCCCGGAGGCGCGGGGCTGCGGTCCGAGGGGACGGTTGGAGCTCCGCGCGCGCGGCCGCCGGGCGACTGTGGCTCCCGGCTCTGGGATCCCCGGGGAGGATCGGGGGAGGGCCCGGGGGCGGGCCTCGCGCGTGTCCCCGCCCCGCCGCGCCTCACTGCCAGCGGCTGCGGCGACCGCGGCAGTGTTGTCCGCTCCTGGAGCCGGCGTGAACCCGGCCCCCGGCGGCGGGATCCGGGTGGGTATCAGAGCCCGGCGCGGGCAGCGGGGCCGGGGTCTGCGGCGCCCACTCGGGACTGGGCGGCGCCTTTCGGCGGAGCCGGGGTGGGGGCGCGCTGGGCGAGTGGGCCTGCAGCCTCAGGCCGGGGAGGGCCCGGGGTCCGGCCGCCGCCGAGAGGAGCGCGGGGCGCGAGCTGGAGCGGGGGCGTTGCGGGCGGACCTGGGACCACTGCAGGGACACCCTGGGGACCCCTTCGCTGCGAGCGGGGTGCCCTAGGATGGGAGTGGGCCTAATTCGGTGAAACTCTGTCCCCGCCTTTGCGGAGCTGTGGGCCGGGGAACTTGCGGTCTTTGTCTGGTTGGATCGTCGGAGAATTGGAGTGGGAACTTGTAGGGGGCCGGAGCTGAGTCCCAAAAGTGTGCCTTCTGTTGCGAGGGTGCCTGCTTGCTTAGCATTTGAGGCCTGTGAGGTGGGTGGTCTGGGCAGTGTGAGTTCCACATGTCAGAACCCTTATTTCATTTTGGACTGGGTACTTTATGTCCTTAAGAAAAAAAAAAAAAAAAAAAAAAGAGGATACAAAAAGGTGGGAAAAAGGATTAATTTAAGATTGCTAAAAATAACCCAAGGAGCCTTGCCAGAAGACAGCGAATCTTCAAATCCTGTTATTCTCACACTCGGAAGTTGGTGTCATATGTTGGCCACAAGTCTAGTTTAGAATCAGCTCAGAAATAGAAAGGAATAGAAAGAAAATGGTGTAGTTTCTCTCTCCTAGCTACTTTGTTTTACTTACCGTCAAGTTCACAGGTAAAGCTGGCTGATGGGCTGGTGCCTGTGATTTGATCCCAAAGATCTACTTCGCTTTGTACCTTATTCTTTAATCTGGAGAGAGGGGGACCTTTTCTGGAGTACATAGTGACCCATGTGGGTACAAAGGCTTGGGAGCTGGGGAGTGCTCTGAACCACGTCTGTCACCAACTCATTAAAAAACTTTTTAAAAGTTGATGTGTTAGTTTTAGAAATTCCTCTTTAAGAATATTAACTTGCCAATCGATAGTAAATGTTAAATGCTTTTGAGAATCAAGAAAGCTTCTGCAAATAAGGGATTAAAAATGAGGAATCCCATTCAATATTCAACTCAAGTTCACTAATGGCCATTTGTAGGGAAGGTTATGGGGTGAAGGTCATGTTCTCTGGGCTCCATTTTGGTCTACACATTGTTTATGGTGAGCAGAATCTCAGAATACTGCTAAAGAAAGTTATTAGTGAAATTACTGAACCCTTGCCTGAATAGCTCCTGATTGTCATAACTCGCAAAACAAACTTACAACCAGGACTGTGGTCTATCCTGCCTTTTATATAGGAGCACTGAGATTCCCCCAAGTTTTGTGCAGCTAGGGGTGACCCAACAGGCTCCAGGAAGCTTGTGCCGCCCCTCTTGCAAACAGCCCCACTTTTTGCATGGACGAGCTGTGCCTGGTGATTCATAGAAACACCAGGAAGCAGGGCTTGTGCGAGGCACTTTGCTCTGGGAAGACCCTTCCAGGCCTCAGTATGAAGACTTTGGAGATGACTGCTTGCCAGACGTGCCAACAGTGGCACCAGCTTCTGCCTTGTTCTGGGTAGCGAGTTGCAGTGGCTTCCACAGGTTCACTGCTGAGTTCAGATAAGCCACCCATTACTGGACTGGCTTATTTCCTTAGTGCCTCAGTTGCCCATCTGTAAAGTGGGAATCGTACTACCTATCTCCAAGGCTGTTGCATGAAATGTAGAAAGCCCTGAATGCCTGACATATGGTAAGTACCTGTTATCATTTTCAATTATTAGGAATGATCATCATTTGGATTTTTTTTTCTTTTTTCTTGTCTTT